CCCCTCATGCCCAGAAATACTGAGGGGTCCGTTTCAGGCAATGCTAAATAGCACTGATTCAACCACGTGGTCCCTCTAACTTCCCGTTAGGCAAGAAGCTAACAAAGCTAACCAAACATTCAATGGTTTGATAAATGGGGACAAAACGCCATCTAACTGGTCTCCATGTCCATGTCACATCTTTGTCTGGCTTTGAGTGGATTTTGACTGTAGGCTTAAAGCTGCCTTGGGCCACGAACGGTCCTGATGCTGTGGGGTCCCCTGCGCCGCGTGTGTATTTAAGCGTTTTGTCACTTGTACGTACATGTATGTGATTTAAGTCTTTCTCATGTCCTGTTCCAACATAATTTATCATCCACACGTGTCTCCCTCCCTGCATCCTGACATTGATACAACCCATCTCCACTCTCCGTCCCCGGCGTGGTAATTTATTGCAGAGAGGCGTGATGAGATTTACTGCTGGCTTGATGAGGTGTGTGTGTGTCTGTGTGTGTGTGTGTGTGTGTGAGAGAGAGAAAGATGGAGAGAAATAAATAGTTAAGGATGAAGAGAAAGAAGAGGACAGAGACAGATGTGTGGATGTCCTTCATGCACCCTTGAGTCCTGGTGGGTGGGTTAAATAAGTGCTGGAGATATGGAGGGATAGAGCGAGAGAGAGAGAGTGTGTGTGTGTGTGTGTGTGTGTGTGTGTGCGCATACACGAGGGAGGGAGGTACTTGAAAGGAGTACCCTGAAAATAAAATAGACCCTGCTTCCTCTCCTCCTTTTCTCTCCCTGATCTGTATGTTGGTCTACACGCGCACACACACACACAGGTGCACATGCACACACTTTAGCGCATTGCTTTTGCTATAAATTTGGGAGTTATGTTTGTGAGTGTGTCTGTGAGAAGACGCAATGCTCACAAACGGTATATTACAGATTGTGTTTGCTAAGTGGCTCAGCGTCACAACCAGGAATGTGTGTGTACAACATGTTCTGGTAATATAAGGGGGTGAGTGTGAGTTTGTGTTTGAGTTCCTAGTGTGTGTCAGAAAGGAGGATACAGGATAGAATTTGTGTCTCTGTTTTTGAGGTCCGCCGGAGTTCTTCAGGCATTTTGGAGGATATAAACATGTTGAATTCAGATTCATTTACACCGTCACCTTTTTCAAACCAGGACGTAAAACAAAACTCATGTAGCGAGTTTATAGAAGGCCGCAGCCGTCTGAGGTAGACAAATCAAATGGTTGATGTCTTTTTGGTAGGAAATCCTCTCTCAGCGTTACTGCTGCACAGGTTTAATCAGCTGGTGTTTGCCGTTGTTGACTGCCAATGGCCTCATAATGAGTTCTGAACTCTGTGGTGTTGCAAACATTTTTACCTCACTATGCGTGTGTTATTTTCTGTTGGATTCGGACGACAGTTACCAGCATTAGCAACTGGTTGCATATGACTGCGTGCATGAGAACCTTGTGAGTGCATCATGTGTCACTGGGAGCCCTGTCAGTCCAACGGGAACACATCGTGCAGCAGCCTGTCACCAACACCGGGATCCAGACCCGGGTGAGTGGAGCGCATCAGCAGATAGTTGATGCAGTAAGAAAAAAAACCTTCTTGTCTCATATTAGTTTCAGCTGTATGTGATGGGTAGAGCTCTCCCCTCCCCCCCCTGCCTGTTTGGCCACACCACCTTAATTGGTGATGCCTAACAGGTGTGACCAGGTGCTCTTTAAATGGGAGCTTTTGCCCCACTAGAGCTAGAGGGGGGCTTGCTGTAGGTCTCCCACGGCATAGGCACAGCACTCGCCACGTGCGGATGGGTTTGAGCGGAATCTAGAGGTATGTCAGGGGTTTTCTGTTTCATGTTTTAATATGCTTTTTAGCAGTGAAATGTTTATTGGCGTTATTTACCTTTTCTTTCTTTTATACAGGAAATGATCAGGTGGTGCAACACTGAGCCTGGTCACTGCTGTTTTTGCCTTTGATTTAAAATAGATTATGGTTACCCGGTTTATATAGTATCTTTGATTATGAATTGCGAATTTGTTTTCTTTCTGGGTTAGTGTCTTTGTTTTGTCCTACATGAACAACCATTACTGCGCCCTATACTGGGGGTCCCTTTAATGCCAGTGCAGGTGGGCATATAGTAGGCCTACAGGGGGTGGCTCACGAGGTGGAAGGCCCTTTCAGTTTATTTTTGTTTGTTTGCTGT